TATATATGAGTCGACTATTATCAAAGCCGGCAATCTGACTTTTGGACAATTATTGGTAAATCAGAAAAACGAATTATTGACTTTGTATTCCATTGGCAGTCACAAAACTCTTCGGAACGACATCTTAGATAAATAACAGGTTAACTATTAACCTTTATTTAATGCAGGTTTTGAACCGTATTCTTTGAAGGAGACGATTATATTCAAATCAATCTGTATTGACATATCAATAAAAAAAATTTGTCCATATGCACAGATTGCCACCTTTGATAATAGACGACTCATATAACGGCCGTCTGGTGTAGTGGTAAGTGACAAGGTCACTACACAAGGGGGTCGCGGGTTCGAATCCCGCCAAGGGATGTTATTTGTATGATAAACACAAATGTCTTCTCCAGGGTTATGGATGTATATTAAATATACGTATGTGTATAATAAAAATCTTACATTTATTTCCATTATCTGGTACCTGTAACACAAGTTCTTTACGAACTTAGCACGGGACCAGTTAAAGTGGCGTGATTGTTAGTAAATATTTATTATTATTTATTATTAGATATATAAAAATGAATTGCTGTTCGTTAGTCTCGTTAAAACTTATGAACGACAGGACCAATTTGGGTAATTTTGCTCTTGAAGGAAGTCCAGAGAAGGTTTAAAAGGTGATATAAAAAAGCTCGGAATTATATAAAAACAATTTTGTTTTTCCTTTGATGTGTCCACTTGATGTGTCTTTTATTTATCGATTAGGGCACTACGAAGTCTGCCGGGTCAGCTAGTTATAATTATGATTATTTTTAATAAATGTATCTTTTTTATTTGATTGGTTTTGTTAATTTTAAGTATGTTTCAATGATACTATGTACACATATGGACTTGTTGTTGTCTGAAATAAAATAAATCATTCATTCATTATTCATTCATTCTTTTGACAGTATTTATGATAAAAATACTGGTGATACCAAATGATTACATATATTATAACTCAATTTCGAATATTTTTGGGAATTGTACACTTTTGATGCGAAAATACGAATCAACAGACTGTGAGTGATAGAAAAAATATATATCTACAAAACATAAAAAATCATGGTTACAAACTTCGGTAGACACCTCTGCAGGAATGGAACGCACGAGCTCACGTACGCTAGCCGATTCACCCACGGCGGAATGTCGCGTGAACACAACGCCTGCAGAAACAAAAAAGAAAAAATGATCTATATATACTATGTATACTATAAATAGTCTATATATTACTGGTGGTAGGACCTCTTGTGAGTCCGCGCTGGTAGGTACCACCACCCCGCCTATTTCTGCCGTGAAGCAGTAATGCCTTTCGGTTTGAAGGGTGGGGCAGCCGTTGTAATTATACTGGAGACCTTAGAACTTATATCTCAAGGTGGGTGGCGCATTTACGTCGTAGATGTTATGGGCTCCAGTGACCACTCTTAATACCAGGTGGGCTGTGAGCTCGTCCACACATCTAAGCAATAAAAAAAAAACAGTCATCGGATTCCACTTCATTCACGTCACACCTTCCAACCGATATGCTCATCTATAGTGCATTGTCAGAGTTTTTTGCTGCGTACCATTCGGCTTTAGAATGAGCTTTTCTCCGCGGTATCCTGGGTTCTATAACAGATCCTATTTCCAACAGGGCCTAAAAGGGGTCCTATGCAATAGCCTCCGATGTGTGCCCCTGGTATTATTAATGTTCTTAGATTCAAAAGTTATACGGTGATCCGTATGCTCATGTATGTACGTGTAGTAGTTTTGAGGGGGGTCAAAATCATGTTCAAAGATTCCGTTACATACTAACATACATACGTCTGAAGCTAATAAAAGCATAATAATATTAACAAACGGACCAAAACTCACCATGCAAAAGGCTGAAGTGAAATGATTGCAGTTATTGTTCATTAAATGGTATCTGTAACAATCGATATAATAAGTTGTCGTAGCTTAAGCCTTCAAGTGCTGAGCTTATTATCACACATTTCGCAGAAAACGCAAAAAGGATTTTGAAAAAAAAAAATACATTATTAACAAGTATGTACTTGTTAACTTGGACAGTGCGTCTCGCAAACCACTCGACCGTAGAGAGAGAATGAACAAAGCGAGCTAGGTCATTTCTCTTACAGCATTCCCTATTACAAGAGAAATTTGATTTAGCGATGGAAAATAAAGAAAACGACAATACTACACACCGCAACAGAAGTTTCACTTCTTTCACGTGCATAATTTTTAAAAAAATCTTTTTAAGTTTGTGAATTGTTATCAATTTATTTATTTATTAGAATGATCCGTAAAATATAGGCAACAAGAAAATTTATTTACAGCTTTTTCGATCGTAAGCACTAAAGCCTTCGTCAAACAGAACGCGTAATTAGCGCGCGTCAGAGCGCTAAACTGACGCCGCGCTATGACGCCGAGATGTGTTGTACTACTATGGTAACATACCGTCAAACAGAGCCCCAGCGCTATAAGTACGCAGCGCTCTGTCGCGGCGTTAGGACGCTTTGACGTCAGGCGTTGTAATTTTTTACAAATTTTATTTTAGCNCGGAACCCCATGGTTATGTAGATATTCACGGTTAATGTTTTGAGGTTAGAATAGCACTATTTAGTTAAAATAGGGTTAAAATTTAGATTAGGGTCCATCAATTTTTGAGTCGAGGAGGGAGGGGTGTAAGGGCTTACCACTGCACCATCACCAAGCCACAGATCCCCATGGTTATGAAGATATCCATGGTTAACTTTTTAGATTAAAATTGCATTATTTAGTCAAACTCGAAGGGAGCTTAAGTTTGAATCCGCCTTATCTCCGGCGCTGCGGGAAGAGCAGCCCTTCCGCCCTTGCATGCCAAAGCACGATCACTCGTGCTCTGCCACAGTGGGCGAAGACTGCTCTCCTTTTTTTTTTTTTTTTTTCCTACCTGAGCTATTAGCCTTGAGAGGCTATATCAGCGGAACCTTAACTAGTAGGTGAGCTCACGGGGCTCAAACCTGATGACGTTGCTAACAGGAACCCTAGCAAGAGCCGTGCTTCGCAGAATCTACCACCGGATCGGAAACGCGACCCACTGAGAAGATCCGGCGAGAAACTCAGTGGGCTGTGTCTGAGGGTTAATTCGCTCGTCGAGCCCTTCGTCGCAAGCGACGGGTTCGGCGAGAACGGTGACCGGTGCTTGAGGTATCTAAAAGCACCGTTAGTGGATCGGGAGGATCCGAAATGACGTGTTTGGGGTGACGTCGACTGCTTTCCATTCTTTCCGCAGGATCGGGAATGTAGTTACCGGCGGCCACGTTGAGAGGGTTCTCGTGTCGTGCCGCTTTATCGAAGTGCTGTTCTCCCTCCGCGCCTCCTGTTTTTTATATACACTAGGAGTAGGGCAGACAAAACCAGGTGGAAAGTGGGGTACTCTGATTTGGTTTTCGATATTTTTCGAATATTTATCCAATTTTATTACCAAAACACGAGCAATTTTACTATTTTATATTTAATCTTATATAAAAAGATATTTTATTACAGACAAATAAAAAAACGCTATAAAAAAATGCGTCATTCACGTTCCATTCCACAGTGTAAACAATTTGTTATTTTCTGTTTAAAAAAGTCAATATAATTGCTTATTACAGCAACAATTACTGTGCACATTAATTACAACAAATTTACTATGTGAATATATTAATATAATAAAATATATTTCGGTAAAAATATGACCTAAAATTTAATAAAATACTCGTTTACCGTGAATGGAACGGTAACGTCAACTGTGACGTCTACTTTGACTGTTTTGCCAATAATTAGGAAACCAAATAGGAAACTTTAAATTTTTTTTATCTCGTAATCCGTGAGTCTCCGCAACTTGAAATTTTGCAAAAAGCTTTCTATTTATGAGTACTATGACAAAAAAATTGTGAACTTCCAAATCGACAGACCATAAAGGAAAGGTTAGCCAACGGCTAACTTATGTCGGACATTTTATAAACAAATTTATAATCCTTAAAACCCAATAGATAACAATGTTTTTTTCGACCAAATCATCGTAAAGCATGCCTAATAACTGATAAAATTAAAATCGAATGAATATTTTTTCACCTTATCTGTTATCTTAAATTAAAACTTGCAAAACTGCTAAAGTCACTACCCACCTACCAATTTATTTTTGTTAAACAAAGAGCGTATATTTTATTTAAGTTATAATTAGAACTAGATAAAATGACAACTGTTCATAACAACATCGTATCAGGTCCAGAAGAAAGGCCCATTCCAGCTCATTTATCATTTGGTCAATATTTGTTTGATCAACTAAAAAAAGGTGGAGACCGTGTAGCGCTGGTAAACTTATTATTTATCATCTAGATATAAATAAGTGTGAAATAAGTTTTTTTTATGTTTATAATTTCCTCTAGGTGAGTGCAGAAACTGGAGAACCTAAAAGTTACAATTTTTTTTTACAAAATAGTGTTAATTTAGCACTGACTCTCCAAGAATTGGGACTAAAGAAAGGTGATGTAGTCTCCCTAAGCAGTGAAAACCGATTTGAATTTATTGTAACTTCCCTAGCCGTTATATACTGCGGAGGTGTTCTCTCTACACTTAATATAACATATTCACCAGGTCAGTTAATTTGTTCATGAATTTCTAACTTATCTTCTTACATATACAGATAATATTTTTGAGTGTTTCTTTGTGGATGTCGATGGGTACAGTGACCACTAGATCAAAGAATCTGGCTTCAATTCTTGTCAGTCTACTTATTTATTAAGTTGTGTGGCAATTCTTCGGACATAATTTCAAGTTAAAAAATATCCTAAAACTTTCAGGTGAAATTATTCATATTCTTAACATAACAAAGCCTAAGTTTGTATTTACTTCGCCAATCACAGCTCAGAATGTGTATGATAGTTGTAAAGATCTATCATATGTGAAACACATCATTACATTTGGAGACTTTGATGTAATCCCAGGCCTTATGTACAATGACTTAATGAAGAAGGAACATAATAATGTGGAAGATTTCTCATTAGTTGATGTAAATGGAGTCGAGGATACTGTTGCAGTCATGTGCTCATCAGGCACAACCGGCTTGCCTAAGGGTGTTATGCTCACACATGTCAACTTTCTGACATTATGTGCTCATTATAAGTAAGTCCAAAAACAATAAGTAATATATATATTTTTTTTAATTCTAATTCAAAATGCAAATAACTTCTTAATAATTATTATTTTCTTCTTATCAGGTATTATTTTGATTCTGTGCAAGAGAAGAAGAAAGTTCCAATAGTGACTGGTTTAGCACTGATACCTTGGTTCCATGCATACGGTTTCATAACTACATTTGCTCTAATGGCAATGAAAATCAGAATTGTCTTTCTAATTCGGTTTGAGGGTGAAAAGTTTTTGGAAACAATTCAAAATTATAAGGTTAAAAAAGCTACATGGCTTTAGTTGAATTAGGTCATAAAAGTGAATGAAGTCGTCGTGGCCTAAAGGATAAGACGTCCGGTGCATTCGTGTTGAAGCGATGCACCGGTGTTCGAATCCCGCAGGCGGGTACCAATTTTTCTAATGAAATATGTACTCAACAAATGTTCACGATTGACTTCCACGGTGAAGGAATAACATCGTGTAATAAAAATCAAACCCGCAAAATTATAATTTGCGTAATTACTGGTGGTAGGACCTCTTGTGAGTCCGCGCGGATAGGTACCACCGCCCTGCTTATTTCTGCCGTGAAGCAGTAATGCGTTTCGGTTTGAAGGGTGGGGTAGCCGTTGTAACTATACTGAGACTTTAGAACTTGTATCTCAAGGTGGGTGGCGCGTCTACGTTGTAGATGTCTATGGGCTCCAGTAACCACTTAACATCAGGTGGGCTGTGAGCTCGTCCACCCATCTACGAAATAAAAAAAAAATAAAAAAATAAAAAAAAACATTAATTTATTCTATATAATAGTAAGAGGGACTATCAGAATATTGTAAACACTGGACATTGTTGTAAAATAATGTTTAAAATCATACAATTGTCTTAGTTGATTTAAAATAGCTTGATACTAAGAACAATTCAGTGATATTTCTAGGGTTAGGTCTTTCTCGAAAAGTGTTACTGAAAGTTGTTTAAATGTATTTATTTTCAACATTCCATTTGATGAAATTTCGAATAAAAAATCTACATTTATTTTATCTGGCATATCAACTTATATTTAATTTTAACAAACTGTGTTGATATTCATTTTGAATATTATTCTACTATGCATTACAGCAAATATTATTAAAGTTATTTCTCTTTCTGATATAATATGACCAACAGTTAATAACTTACATGGACATTATTATTACTCATTACAAATAGTGTTCTGGGTATACCTACTACTACTGTATACTAATCTGCCTGTCAAATTGTCAATGGCTGTATCAAGCTCAGTGCGGCCAAGCGTCATTTGGTCTTGGTAGGGTGTAATAAACCCACATGTGTAGGCACTACTTCCTGGCCATTTCTGCTGCGAAGCAGTTATAGATTCAGGTTGAAGCATGAAACAAATATACAATACAATTTAGACTTAGATGACATGTCTCAACTGTCTCATCTCAAACTTGTGCCTTAATAACGGTGGAATTATGTAACTACATATTACTTACATATTAAAAGATACAATAAAAAAAAGAATAAATTTATTTTAATTTAGAAATCAATGAGTGCAAGATTAAACCGATGATCTGTGTATCTAAATCTTTATAATTGACTGTATATTCCATTTTCTTTTTTATTCCTAAAAATTAAATTATCTATAATTTGTTGATTGTGTTAAAGAGATTAACTTTATTTGTTTATTTATTTCAGATAAACATGACCACAATTGTACCTCCATTGGCAGTTTTCCTAGCAAAACATCCACTGGTACTTAAATATGATTTGTCTTCTTTGCATGAAGTGTGGTGTGGAGCCGCTCCACTTTCAAGTGAAATACAAAAAGCTGTCACCAAAAGGTATTTTATTCGCAACCTCAATTTATTGTATTTACTAATAACATAATGTGAAACTGTATAATGTATAAAATTACCAGGCTCTAAAGAACTCAATTATAATTGAATATGCAATTTCGAAAAGGGCACATTCCGAAAATATAAAATGTTCAGGAAATGAAAAAAAAACTGATTATTTTCTAAAGCAGAGTAAAATTTGAAATACCTATTAACTTTTGAGATATATTTTAGTGTTAATTAGCAATTGAAAATTACTGGAATTATTATAAAATGGGTGTAAGTAAGCTTCAAAACTACATGTATATCAAAAAGTGTATTTGACAAAATAAGCGACATGTGCCCTTTTCGAAATTGCATATTCAATTTAACAATGCATCTATTATAAGTGTTTTTATATTATGCTTAAAGAGTGTGTTGAGTTTATTTATAATATTTATGAACATGTACTTGCATTTTCTACCGGTTTTGGCTAGCCGTAGACGTAATTAAAATTCCTTTTGCAGTTTAATCTCAGTTTATATTGACCACGTGACCTTATTCTTTGACTACGAACATCCGAAATAGCTTAATGACAATAAAAAAATGCGAAATTAAATCTTGAATGGAGTTTTAATTACGTACAGTAATCGGCACGAGTCGTGAGCTCTTGATAAAATAGGGGGCGTCTGCGCAAGTTACACATAAGGTAAAATTAAATGGTTCACTTATGCATTACCTTTTTTATAATTAAATTAACTGCGTTCAATTTAGGATTTAAAAATGTATTAATAATTTTATAATCGTTTTGCTCGGGATTTCGCTCGTATTATGGTCAGAAATAATCCTATTTTTAACGACTTTCAAAAGGTCATCAATTCATCCTGTTTTTTTTTTTTGTAGAACAGATATGTTGTCAAGTTTCTACCGCTAATTTGCTTTTCCCATGTGGTGACGGGTATGGAAGATATACAATATTGTTAAGCTATAGACAATGCTTATTGATTTCTTTGGTGCCAAGGAAACCATTTGAATAATATACCTAAACCTATTTCTAATTGATTAACTTATAGGACAATGTTATAGCTGCTTTAGACAAGAACTATGGGACATATAAACAATTCCTTTATGTTATCTTTTAATACGAATATTGATCAATGTCCAAGAAAAAAAAACAAAAAACCGACTTTTACTAAAAAGTTTCAAATAATACATAAATGTACTTGTGACCAGACCGACCAGACCCAAAAATGCACTTCTGCGCATGTCTAGATCAGAGCTCACGACTCGTGCCGATAACTATTCTTACAGTTTTTTTTAGTTCTAACATGATTACAGGACGGGTATTGACTTCATTAAACAGGGTTATGGCTTAACCGAGGCAACAATGGCTTGTTGTGTTGATTTAACCAGTGGTGAAAAAGTAGGATCATGTGGTACACCTGCCCCTGGCATGAAAATTAAGGTATAAGAATTAAAAAATATATATAGTCCAACTAGGATTTCTTTCAAAACTACAAGATAATAATTCTGAAATGTTAACAGCTACTAAGCTATGATACCTCGTAAAAAACAATAGATTAATAAAGAATAGATTGCTTAAACTCTGCCCGTTTCATTAATAGACTAGCAAAGACAGCATTGGCTAGTAATGGTATCCTACCTTTAAAACGGAAAACCGCCTTGACATGTCCTGGCTCACAAATAGGTACCGCGATTCCACCCATTCTAAATTTGGAATAAAATAAATAAAATGGAATATAACCAAAAAGTAAAGCTGAGTTATACCGGTTGTCCTTGATTATTAAAATCTGTTTTCACTGGCATATTTCCGGATCGATTCAATGTAACAATTATGGAGGGCTCCAAAATTGTAACGAGAAAAAACCTTATGCAGGGTTTTGTATCGGTTAAGCATCGAACCATAAACTCTGACCAGAAAGAGTTTCATTAAATTGATATTTTCTGCATAAACTCAAACTAACGAATAAACAAATAGACAAATAGCATTAATATCGGTAATTTGGAACGTTATTCACCTAAAATATATTGTAATTGTATAATTTTTTGTAAATATTTTGATGCTGTCTAAAAAGTGTTGTGGAATAGGGACCGCTTTGTTGAATATAGAGTAACGTATAATAGCCGGCAAACTTCTTGAGCATTTGTTGACGTAGTGGGGGTAAGTTCGCGCATGGTACACTCACGTGCAAAAACATTATTTACTCTGCGTCATAATACAATTAAATTATTAAAATCAATATATGTATTTATTTATATATTTATTAGAACATCAACAAAAAATATAGGTTAATAATTGTAATAATTTAATCTTGGGGTAAAATAGATATTCCTTCTATTAAGTCAAAACTAGAGCTGTTGCCAGGTCTTGGTTCGGTTGAAGCTGGTATTTGTAATTTTTTTTTCGTTATCATAATCTTGACCATCATCATCATCACTGTTTTCATCACCCGAGTCGCTATCATCGTGATGAGTAGACATAGGGCTCATCGGTGTAGTTTATAACTCGATCGGTTCGGTCTTCTTTTTTGTCTATAATTAATTATTTTTTGAAGATATTCGATTCGTAGTAATCGAATGTAACTTGTTTCAATTACCAGCTTCCGATTATTTTCTGTTTTTTTTCCATCTGAAGCCTAGCTCTTTCATAACTCGTCGTAAGCTTCATTCAGAGCCATTAAAATTTATATCTTCTTTAAAATTTTCGAAGCCTTTCTACGGTACGGAGTTTCGCTGCTTGTTATGTAGTTATTATGATTACATCTTTTTATTACAGATTGAATGAAACTATCTATTCCAGTAAGTTTCTTCTTCCCTGATCTTTTCTTACCCGGAGTCCGAAACACGACGAGCAAGCCAGACAGAGCCTTTAGCTTCGTTAATAATGCACCTCACAGTACTCACTGATGTTTTTGTTGCTTCCGAAGTCTGTTTTACTTTTTCTATATCATTCTTCCCCTGTTTTATAATGAAGCAATATACGTCGTACACAATTTTTCTACCCTTTCTTTTGAATACTACATCAGTTTGTCACTGCATAGTGTATTTTTTATAAAAAATCAACAAATACTCAACAAATAGCAATGGCAACAAAGTCAACAAGCAATTATAACAAATAACTTAACGATTAATGACGATAGACTTTTCACTGTACGCAAGCGTACTTTTGGGAGCAAGCGGAACGAGGGTGCGGTGCGGGACGCAAGGTTCGACTGATCTACCAATAACGCGCTCGATACGATTTCCCCTGCCGTCGCGCCTCACCCTCACCACCAAAGTGATCTAAAATTCGGTTCTGCGCAGTCAAGGTCATTTGCTCAAGAAGTTTGCCGGTTACTATAC